TGATGAGTGAATGTAGCTTAAGCCTTTGTATGTGTCCTCAGGGGACAGACAGACTTATGAGGGACCAGATAACATTTGAATAGAAGACTTATATTTCAGGTGTTTTAGCTTGAAATTTATTTTTTTGAAAAAGAAATATTTTAAAAAATAAAATATAACAAAGCCTGTAAAGTAAGTTGATATTATAAAGAGGCAGAGTTGTTTAGCACAGAGAGAAAATACTGACCTGTCTGCATTTTGGTACTGTGGATGCAGGTCCCAGCTGGGCAGATCATGATATATTTTAAATTATTTTCACCAGCAAGTAAAAGGAAAACAACCTACAAGAAATGTCTTTGAAAGGGGTCATACAGTAGAAAATTTATACTTAACCTACATTTCTAAGCTTCTGTCTGAGGAGTGCCTCAGATGCGAGAGCAAATGTGAGACAGTTTAAAAAATGGTTGGGAAGGGGCCGGAGATTTAGCTCAGTGGTTTCGCAGCCTGCTGCGCAAACACAAAGACCTGAGTTCGATCCCCGGTACCAAAAAAAAAAAAAAAAATGGTAGGGAAGGAAGAAAATCCCTGCAGATAATGATCTAATGTTAGTTGGCCACATGAAATTTTCTATCATTGTGTTTGGGAGGTTTTATTTTCTTATGTTTTTAAAATTGGATTGCTAAATGCTTTATAGACATATTTTTATCCAGGTGCCACTCCAGTGTATATGTACTAAAATTATTTATATTAAAAGTGAGAAATAACTTGTCACCATTTTTCTGTGAGTATAGATTTATAGGGGTGGCAAAGAGTGCTAGTTAGCAGTTTCCCATGTAAAGTTGTCCTTGACTGATTTGTGCTTGTCAGCTATAACCTCTGCCTTCTCCACCCCCCAGCAAAAATTAATTATTTTTAACCCAGATGTGTCATTTGAAATTTTTGGATTAAAAAAATAATAACCAGGGAAGTTCCTAGAAAGATGTTTGGCTTTTTGAGTTTTCCTTGAGGATTGGGGTAAAGAATACCTCCCCCAAAGCTATCAGCACAAAACAGGGTATCAATTTTTAACTCTGATGTTTCTATTGGAGTTGAATACTAAATAACTTATGAGGGAAGTACATTTCTATTAATATTCGCTACATTCTAGAAACATCCCTGTTTTAATTTTTTACCTAAATCCTTTTGTGCTCTATGTTAAAAAAAAGAGTGTACTGAGTTACAATGCATTTATTAACACTATGTACATATTAGCTGCTTTGTGTTCAGAATGGTAGCAATTGCTTTGTATATTAAAGTGATCCTTGTGAATTTGTGAAATATTTGTCATAAAGTGCTTTTTCTTACTGTAATCTTTGTGGATCAACTGTCATAATGCCCTTTTTACACAGACATTTATGTGCAGTCACATAAACATGCTTTTTAAAACTCTGTACGTCTCTTTTTTTGGGGGATGGCACCTCTTCTTTCATGATTCTATTGTCATATTTCTTTGGACTTAAGGTTTATTAATTTTGTTAAAGTAATGTTAAACTATATGCCAAGTTTGTGTTGCATAGCAGTAGAAAACTAATCCAGGCAACAAGAACCTATTTTCAGTACTTCATTTTATTGCAGTTCTGGCTTTTAGCTCAAAGCTTCTTTTTTCATTAACACTGAACAGTGCTTAATCGAAGATTTGGAGATATTACTGTCCTGTTGACATAACTAATGGAGACATTAATGACTCTTTGTCTCCAGTGTCATAAAAATGCATATGAAAGAACAGGTGAAATTCTGAGATTGTGTAAAATGGAAGAGAAGATGTGGTTTTAATCACTGCTTAAGGTATTCAAATAAAAGATTCCTATAATCTGAAATATATTCTGGAACTTGTAAAAATAAGCAGTTACATTTATTCCTAAGTATTGTATGTTCTAATTCTCAAGCTGTGTTCATTAAGCCTAATACACTTGCCATTATACTGTAAGAATTACATGAATTTCATTTTTCCCCTTCTCCAAAGTGACTACATAACTTATTGATACACTTAAGACATTTGAGAGTTAAAGGGTGATGATAATTTCATGGAGACAAGGTAGAAACCAGGATTCGCTGAGCATGTTGAAACCTGTGATCATCCTACTTGGAAGCCAAGTCGGAGTGCATATCTTCTCTTCCTATTTTTGCTGTCACATAAAAAATATTCATCGAGGACACACTTTTGAGCACTGGAGTGACAAAGAAGACAATTCCCTTTTCTTTAGAAGCTTGAATACATCCTCGAACACAATTCTAATACCTTTACACAGTGGTAGCCCTTTCTGCTCCACTTAACTGTACATTTGTATTTGTCACTTTCACTCATTGCAAAACAGGCCCCAAACAGCTAATACTCCTCTTAATGTTTCTTTAGCTGGCTTTTTCCATCTTGTAAATGGTGCTGCTGCTGTTGTTGTCCACTAAATTGCCAGGCCCAGAAAAGCACCACCTTAGTGCTGTCTTCACTATGCCTTTTAATTTCTCCACATCTTAAACATGCAGAAAACAGACCAAATGAACTGCAGATTCTAAGGAGGTCCTAAAATCTAATGAAAAAGGGTAATCTTCAATAGTATGGATGCTAATTTTTGCCTGTTTTTAATTGAAGTTCAGTTCATACAGCAACCATTTAAAGTGAACAATTCAGGGCTAGGGATTTAGCTCAGTGGTTCTGCTGCCTGCCTCGCAAGCGCAAAGACTCGAGTTCTATCCCCAGTACCAAAAAAAAAACCCAACTAAAGTGAACAATTCAGTGGTATTTAATGCATTCACAGTGTTGTCGATTACCCCTATCCAGTTCCCAAACTTTTTTTCCCCCAGTTAGCACCAATGACATAACATTTATTTAGCTTTGCAACTCCTGGTAGCTCCACTTTTAAATAAAGTGAAGCTTTGTGTGGGTGTGGGTGTGGGTGTGTGTGTGGAACTGGGGATCAAACTTAGGACCTTCCGCTTGCCAGGCAGGCACTGGCACTACTTAGCTAAACCTCTGACCCCCCCAAAATTTTTTTTGTACCGAGGATCAAACTCAGGACCCTGCACTTGCAAGGCAGGCACAGGCACCACTGAGCCACATCCCCGGCTTTTTTTTTTTTAATTTTGTGATGGTCTTGCTATGTAGTTCATCCTGGCCTTGAACTCTTATGTAGCCCAGGCTGGCCTCAAACTCACAGCGATCCTCCTGCCTCAGCTTGCCAGGTGCTGGGATTATAAGCATGCGCCACCACATCTGGCAGTTCTCAAACTTTTTTTTTTGGTACTGGGGATTGAACTCTGGACCCTGCACTTTCGAGGCAGGCGCCAGAACCACTGAGCTAAATATCCCCGGCCCACCCAAACATTTTTATCACACCAAAATAAAACCATACACCCTTTAAACAGTAACCTCCCACTTCTTGTCCCTCACAGCCTGCACCTTGCTTTTTGTTTCGATGAATTTACCATGTCTGGGTATTTCAAACAATCAGAATCATGTAATAAGTGTATGACTTTTGTGCCTGACTTCTTTCATTTCACATCTTTCCATGTTCATCCACATTGTAGCATTTTTATAGTCAAATAATTCTCCACTGTATACATTGTTACCCATTTGTTGGTGGACATCTAGGGCGCTTCCACCATTTGGCTATTGTGAATAGTAGTATTGGGAACAGTTTGTACCTAAATATTTGAGTCCCTGTTTTTAATTCTTTGACGTATATACCTGAGGGTGGAATTGCTGTCCTGTGGGTAATTCTGGGTTTTTTGGTACTGGGGATCGAACTTGGGACCTTGCGCTTGCAAGGCAGGTGGGGTGCCACTGAGCTAAATAAATCCTCAGCCCTTATGTTTAACTTTCTGAGGGACTGCCAGGCTCTCTCAGCAGCTGCACCATTTACTTTCCACCACTGATGTACAAGCCTTCCTATTTCTCTACATCTTCCCCAACACTTGTTTTGCAGTTTTTAAATTATAGCTACCTTCACAGGTGTGGAATGAACTCACTGCAATTTTTTAAATTTGCATTTCCTTAATGACTACTGATATTGAGCATGTTTTTCTGTTAGGTATTTGCGTATCTTCTTTGGAGAAACATCTGTTCAAGTCTTGTATTCATTTTGTAATTGGGTTGTTTTCTTGTTGAAATACAAGAATTCCTTATCTCTTCTGGATATGAGACCCTTACATTTTTATCCCATTCTGCAAGTTTTTACTTTCTGGATAATTGTCTCCACTGTTTAACTGGATTTTATTTAAAGTACATTGGTTAAAAAAACAAAACAAAAAAAAACTAGTCTTAACATTAGGCAAACAGTAAAAAAGCAATTTCTTGTACATGTTTTTAGTGACAATCTCAACTGTGCACACAAGTGTACAGTCTCTCTTCCCTTGGATTATAAACTGTTTCTATTAGGTTGTTTTAAACTTTTGATGGTTACACATATATATTAGATACAGGGGAGTTAGTGTTTGTACAAGCTTATATATCTTCAGGACAGATACTAAGAATTAGAAATTATTTTTGAAGTACTGTTTTCTTCATATTGCGGATTGTTTCCTAAGCATTAAGAACCTGATATGCTGTTTTTGTTAACTTATGTTGGTTAGTATTTTTTAATGTCAAACTTCATCTTGTTTTTAGAAAGAAAAATTAGAAATAGCAGAACCAGTTTTATACAAGGTTATAAAGTAGATAACTTCCCTTTTGCTCCTGTTAGTACTATTTTCCTTTCTAATCTCCCTCAACTATTTTCTCACTGATCCAATTTTTCAAAATTCCATCTTTTCTAGTGTTACTAAAGTTTTAACCCATGGTTGTAGACAGAAAAGTATATTGTGCTTTTAGAGCAGAAGACTTAACAGCTAACAAGGAAATCCTTAGATTTTAAAGTAAATCATCTGAGGACTGTCCAGACTTCATGCTGTTCATGTGGGTGCGAAGAGAACATGGTCTCCAGCTTCCCAGGGCAGCGCTCTGCAGGGTAACTCATTCTTGTTTTAAAAAAAAAAAAAATCCTGAAAGTGCTACTTCACTCTACATGGAGGGTTATGGGGAACAGTAAGATTATGATTGGTTTATCTAACACTAAAATTAATCGTATCTGTTTCACCAACTCAAGTCAAGCCCTATATCTAGCTGCATTTACCAATATTGAATACATTAGAATTTTTAAGAACTTTATACATAAAAGTCTTATTTTGTTAATTTAAGAACTGGTAGCAAATGCGACCCATAAAGTATGCAATTGGGAGCTAGGGATGTAGCTCAGTGGTAGAGCACTTCCCTAGTATTCACAAGGCCCTGGGTTCAATTCCCAGCACCACCATTAAAAAAAAAAAAAAAAACATAGTATGGCTTGGTGGAAGTGGATCTTAACATAAATTAACATGATTTTGTTACTGAGAATGTTATTTTAGTATTGCTGAGGATCCATTCCTCCTTCCTAAAGTACCCTAATCTTCCAGAGCATAAGTTGTATTTGCTGAGATAAACATTCCAGACAATACTGTATTTTGCCCTAAAATATCTAGTGTTCAGCTAAAGTATTTTGATGGGTCAGAAATCTGACCCTTTAGTGTAAAATGTTAGAAACTACCTGAAGATGATACCAGCTTCAAGTAGTTCTATCAAGATCTAAAGCAAGCTATCCTTAAGAGGGAACTGCCAGAGAACAACAGCATCCTTTCTAGCGGAGTTCTAATAATCTTGTATCATACATATATTTTAAGATAGTGTCTTAACAGCAATATTTGATATTAGAGGAGAGGTACTGGTATCCACTGGATTACTTAACTGCATAAATGTTAAAGAAATGGAACGGTATGAAAGTCAAGGCTTAGTAAAATAGGTTTGGACTACCATGGACTTTTGAGCTATGAACTCAGTTCATTCTCAAGAGCTAGTTGTAACTCAAGTTGGTCAATGAAGGCTCAGGCTCCTCTACACAGCCTTCAAAGTCTCTCTCCTGTATACAGGCAGATCTCAGTTTCCTCAGATATTGGCCTGGGATTTCTCAATTAACCCCACACAGGAAAGGATGTTGTAATGTTCCTTCCAGAACTCTTTAAGGGTTAAATCTGTATCTGAGACCGTCTGGAAGTACAAATAGCTGGCATTCAGGTCGTAACTCAAGACTTTGGTTGTAAGTTAAAACTAAAATTCCAGTCATAATCCAAGTTGTTCGTATGTCAGGCCAGTCGTAACTCAAGAGTCCACTGTACATTTATGTATTTAAGGGCAAAACAAGTACACTTAAGCCAAGTGTATTGGCACATGCCTGTAATCTAGCATTTGGAAGACTGAGGCAGGAGAATCGCCAAGAGTTTCAGGCCAGCCTGAACTACAAAATGAAACCCTGTTTCAAAATCTACCCAAAAATAAATAAATACATGTATGTAGAAAATAACATTAGGTATTCCCACTTACAAAATATTCATTAAAAGATTAAAGAGGATAAGGGGATAAAGTCTTATTTTTAATAACTTGTAAACAAATCTCTTTAGTGCAAATACCATATGAAATTATAATCTTGTGGCCTAAATTTGTTTAAACTACATTTAAACTTTGACAATGTAAAAGGAAAAGTTCATACGTAGGAACTTCATAAAGTCTATGAAAGATAATCATAAAACAGCATAGCAGTCATTTAACCCAAAGTCAATACTCTCTAACTGGAATATATCTTTTTTCATTATTTGGCTGTGATACACTAGATGCTGAGAAGGCAATGAAAGAGGCAGGAACCTTCTGGCCCTCTAGAAGCTCGAAGCCCACCAGGAATACCCACACTGAGTAAGCAGCTGTAGGTACCACATGGATGGAAGGAGCTTGAGCTTGGGGCTAGCTTCTTGAGAAGGGTTGAAAAGAGCCAGGGAAAGCCTAAGACAGTGGTGGTGAACCTATAGCATGTACGCTCCGGTGGGCACACACAGCAGCTGAGCATCAGCTATTCAGGGTTATTTCCAGTCTTGGCACTTTGTGATAAATAAAGTGGGTTCTGGGTTACAGTTTGGGCACTTGGTCTCTAAAAGGTTCGCTATCACTGGCTTAGGAAATATATACAGAAATGTGAGAAACGCAAAGCTGAAGGGAAAAACAACAACTTCTGATTTGAAGAAGGTAACACATTCTAGTCCAAGGCTTTAGATGCTTTCAAAAAGTAACTCAAATTTTTACTTATTGCTTTGTTTATATACTTCCACCTGAAATTAAGCCAAAAAACAGAACACGAATCCCAGGAAACTCCCATCCTAATCTCAACAATCAAAAAGTGTTTAAGACCTAAATGGGGCAAGAGCACTAAAAGCTCAGATTAAACCTCTTATATTCAGAAAATTAGAAAACTGGGATATATCTCAGAATGTTAATAGGCTTATGACTTAACCTCACCAAAACAAAGACATCTTTATACCAGCCCTTCATCATATCAGTGAAAATTTTATCAAGGTGGAGCAGCAAAGGATACTGCATAACCCAAAATCTCACACTTTAACGTTAACTAGATTTCAGTGCAGTAAAACATGACAAAGAATCACAATGGAACAAAACTCTGCTCTGTTTTAAAACTGCACATGTGCTTTGTCCCTTGAGAGCATTCTTCAGACAGACTTGTACAGTAAGCCACTGCATTAAAGATGGTTAGATTCTCAGTCTAAGACCTTAATTGACCTTCTTAGGGCCAATATTCTTATAAAGTATACCCAACTATAAGTCCTCCCTCTGGCTTTGCTTCTGTGCTTTGTAAATATGTACGTCTTTTTCAGGATCATAGTGAATCTTACTCACAGTAAACTGCCTCTCCATCATCGCTAAGAAGTTGTTATCCCGTTCATAGCGAATTCGGCAAGCTAAAAGAATCACAGAGTGATCATTACAAAGATATTCCAGTGTCTGAAGAAGATCTGTGAATGTTTCTTCTAAATATATGATATCAGCTCCAAGTATCAGGTCAAATTCTCCAGGTGAAAAACTCTCCAAATTTTGTCCCCAAGTCAGCTCCTTAACAACAGTGTTGGTTTGGACATGGGGAGGTAAGTTGGCTTGAATGTTTGATTTAAGAAATTCTAATGCTACTTTTCGATCCGTGACAGTCACATGAGCACCTACAATGTGGGACAAAGAGAAAGTAATGTGCAAATCAGTACAACCGTTGGTAGAGAGGGGGTCAGATTAAACAAAGAGTTATCTAAATATTCCACACAATACACAGAATACCTGTGTCCTTCACAAACAGTTGGAATGGATTAGAACTGTAGCTCCTCGACACTGCCTTCTAATAAACCCTTTTTTTTTTTTTTTTGTGGTACCAGGGATCCAACTCGGGACCTTGCGCTTTCGAGGCAGGAGGCGGAACCACTGAGCTAAATCCCCAGCCCTTGATAAACCTTTGATTTGCCTCTATAACACACCTATATTTTCTGAATTTGTGCCTATAAATTGCAATCACGAAGTGACACAGCTAATGCTTCTAAATTCTGCAAGCAGAGCTGCCCCACCCGTCACACATATCTACTGCTATACTTCATTCATTATACTACGACCAAGTCAGCAGGCCTCCAGGTAAAATGAAATCCAAGAATGAAAAATCTGAAACCAGAGTACTGCTATAAAGATAACACAAACAGGGAAAGGTTATTTTGTTTTTTATAGCAAAACATTTATTGGTACATTTTAGGTATAAATTATGATAACATTCATCATAGAGAATTTGTACCTGTACATGGTACATTCTGCCCCTTTTTTCCCCACTTCCCCCTCCCATTAAGCCCCCTCCCCTCCCTATGAACAAAAGCTTTGTTTCAAATTTTTCCTTTTATTTTCACTTTTTTCCTTGTCCCTTCCTTTCTCCCTCCCTCCTCCCTTGTTCCCCTTCCCATTTGAACATTTTCTTCTCATTTCCCAATATCTATTACACATTTTAGTCCGTATTTCCACTTTCAGTTTCTCATACCAGAGAAACAATGTGGTATTTAAACTTGTGTGCCCGATTTAGAAAAGTTTGTTTTGTGAGGTTAAAGTTTTTTAAAGCAGAACAGAGAAATTGGCTACTGAGGAATCCCAGTCCACCTCTCCTTACACTGTTTTGAAGCAGCTAACCTATATGTTTATGTAACACATACATAACCATTAAAAACTGTACACTTAAGTACTGTGAGCAGGAGATGGTAGTGCATGCCTATAATCCTGGCTATTTGGGGGGCTGCGGCAGGGAAGATTGCAAGTTTCAGACAACTCTGAGCAACCTAGCAAAATCCTGCCCCATAATAAAAAGGGCTGCGGATATAGATCTATGGTACAGCACTTGACTAGCATGCATGAGGTCCTAAGTTCAATCTCCAGTACTGCCAAAATTTTTAAAAATATAGTATTTAAGAAATGTAAGTTCTTGTTCTTTACATACTGTTTCTAGACACAATGCAGAAAACTGAGATAGGATTTTATTTATCTGTTTCTTGTGAGTTGTTGACAATGAACTAAAAGATTTATTATTTTTTTAACCCACATGAGAGAGAGAAAACAACTATTTCCCCTAAGGTGAAGCAACCACATGAGGTCAGCCCTAATATACCTCATCTACAAAAGTGTGGTCATGTTTCATTTTGGCCCAGGAATTCTAACATTTAATAACTTTAATGTTTCATTCTTTCATAAAAGTGTTTCTCATTTGTATCCTTTTTCAGCTTGGAGTCTCCCACGAAGTCTCAGGCCAGCTCTAGTCAGTACCATTCCACCGACAGCTTATACCCGGTATGTCCTGACATGTAACACCATGGCAGTATGTAATTCAATTTGACATTTACAGTCCTAGAGTGTGGTGCAGATGAAAATGATCAAGCTGTTAGATTTTACAAGCCTGGACTTCATAAGCCACTCTGAGCATTCAATGCTAGACAGTGTGCCTCTTCCTGGTTTGGGGCCGGGCTCCCTCACTCCCTCTCTTTCTTCCTTTCTCCCTCTCTCTCTCCCTCTCCTGCCTCTCATCCCCCTCCCCTCTTTCTGGGATGAGGTCTCATTATATTGCCCAAGCTAGCCGCAAACTCCTGGACTCAAGTCAGCCTCCAGAGTAGCTGGGACTACAGATGTGTCCCACCATGCCGGGCCATCTCTGGATTTCTTCTTGGTCCACCAGAGCACTCTTCTGACACACAGGAGTGATCTGTTCTTCTATTCTTTTAAACACTGATCCAATATTAATTTTAACAGCTTTTCTATTGCCTGTCTCAGCAATTTTAGAGGCTACTTCTTTTTTTTCGGTACCAGGAACTCAGGACCTTGCACTTGTGAAGCAGGGGCGGTGCCACTGAGCGAAATTCCCCAGCTTGGAGACTACTTCTAACCTACTAAATATTCCAGAAGTTGGAATACATCTTAGTGTCTGCTGACCATTCCTCTGTAATAAATATCTAACCGATTACCACCAGCCAGGGGACAAAAACACCTACCCTCACAGAGCTTATGTTCAAGTGAGGAGATAGGTAGTATCTACGTTTTCTTTAAAAAAGTAGAATACCCAGTAATTAGTTGGTGATACGAACAAAGGAAAAAAAATAAAGCAAAAAAAGAGAGGCATGAAATGTGAGGAAGTAAGAGAAGTGTGAAAGTGCAGGTTAGGTGTATACGAAGATATCACTCAGACAGTGCCGGGAAAGGCATCAGAGCAGGAGAGGACAGCCAACTGTGTATCAAGGAAGAACATTCCAGGCTTGGGGAAGGAGGCCAATGGGGCTGGAACAGAGTGAATGAGGAATAAAGTCCTAGGAGGTGAGATCAGAGAAGTCACAGGGGGCACAGCTAATCAATCATCCACAGTCTCGCTAGTCATGTTTCAGAGAGGCTCTAGTTTCCAGAGTAAGATGGGAAGCTACTGGAAAGTGCTGAGCATAAGTTTGAAGGGACTGACTTGGATTTTTAACAGTATCTCTGGTGATGGAGCAAGGGCAGAAGTAAGGGAACTGGTGGAGCCTCCACAGGAGTCCGGGTGAAGGATGCTAGTGGCCTGCATCTTGCTGCAACCAGACACCCTCCAGAGCCAGATCCCAAATGCAACCTGCCCTCCAGTGCCCACTCTCCTGCCTTTCACAGGAATCTCTCCCTTAACTGTGTATTTGGGTTTTATCATCTAGATGTCCATCCCTGCCATTGCAGCTTTGTTCATGGTTTTGTTTTGCTTATTTGGGGTGGGAGGTAAAGAAGATGTCTTAAGCCTATGTTTTAAACTATCAATTTCCATTCCATCATTTTCCCCCCTGGCAATTTAAGGAAGAAACAGGTTGTTTGTTCTGTAGTTTCCCACAATCTGAATTTTGCTGACTGCATCATTTGTGTAGTTTCACATGTCCCTTTGTCCTCTGTAAGTCTTATAAATTAGTCTGAGTTAGATTTTTTTTTTGGTACTGGGGATCAAACCCGGGACCTTGTGCTTGTGAGGCAGGTGGTGGTACCACTGAGCTAAATCCCCGGCCCTGAGTTAGATTTTTTGAATGGCACTACTTCAGAGGTAGTTGTATGTTCTTCAAGAAGTCCACAATGTCTGGTAGGCTCTATTTTTGAGACATCAGCAGCCACTAAGCCTCAATACTCAGATCCTTACTTCTTTATATTCTTTTTGCACTAATTGAGAATTGCTTATTTTGTATAGGAACTGAATAGGAAAGAATAACTTTTGCTTCTCCATACCCTTTCATAAACCAGACTTCAAAATAAAGAGTTGATTTCTCAGCATCCTCCAAAGATAACTAGGTTAACTATGTTGTTGTGAACACATGGATGAAACACATTTGATGTATTTTAACCCACTGACATTATCATTACTCTTGTCCAAATTGTCCCATCTTTTGCCAGTGGCCTCTGACACAACCCTAGTCATCTTTGACAGCTTCCTTGGAATCTCTGTTAAGATCTTCCAGGATCCTCTTACTCATTTCCTGCCACAGACCTACAGCCAGCCACTTTAGAGGTCTATATCTCTTATTTTGTTAAGATGGGAGAAGTAAAATCAAGTTTCTATGCTGAAGGAAATGATCGAATGGAAAGGGACAATGGAGGTAACCTTGAACAGGTGAGAGCAGACAGGATCTAAGACACAAGTAGGATACTCACTAAGACAGGACAGTCACTCAACTATAGGCAGGACTACAGTCCAGACCTGTGTGTAGGGGAGACAGTGGTGGGAAGCTGTGGAAGTTGTTTTCAGATTGCTTAAGGCTCTGCACTGAAATGGGGAATGTCAGCAGCTGAGAGCAAAAAATGAGAAAGAATGGAAGTTTGAAAGCCAAAACGGTGAAAATCAGCAGAGTAAGAGAGGAGCCAGAGTGTGACTGCCCAGCAGCATCCTGAGCCTCTTCAGAGCTGGGCATAGTGGAAGCCACCTGTAATCCCAGCACTCTGAGGGGCTGAGGCAAGAGGATCACGAGTTCTAACCCAGTCTGGGCTACTTAGCAACTTAGTGAGACCCAGTCTCAAAATAAAAAATAATAAAAGGCTGGGTATGTAGCTCAGTGCGAAGGCCCTGGGTTAAATGCCCAGCACCACCACCACCAAAAAAGAAGCCCCTGGAACATGAATGTAAGTGAGAGCCAGCAGCAGAACTCCCTCTAGCCATGCCCAGATGCACCAGCCCAGGCCTGAGCCAGGGGAAAGCTGCATTTCACCTGAGTTGTTTTGAGCTGAGAAAGTAAGATCACACAATGGCGTGCAGTGTTGACAATACATGAAAACAGTGATAAAGTGATTGCCCGGGGTAAGGAGGGAAGTGAGACAATACTCAGTTCATAACAGATTAATGGAAATAGACCCAATAAAAAACACAGCATGCCGTCCTCCCTTAGAATGAGAAAAGAGTGTGCCATCATTTTTAGTTTTATAAGCAGCACTTTAATGTATTCACATATTCAAGCACATATTATGTGCTGGAGACACAAAGATGAGCAAGACAGTCATTACCCAGAGCTCCAAATGTTACAGGGACAGAGTCACATAAACATAACTGATGTGGTATTGGAAGCAAAATAACAGGAACATGGGTGTGCACAGAAAATCATGCAGTTTCAAACAAAGGAGAAACTTCTCAAGAGGAGCAGAGGTCAAAGGAAGTCTCATAGGAAAGGAAACCTGAGCTCACACTTAAGTATGGCATGACCCAGGGAAAGGGGAGAAGTGAGATCATTCAGGGCAAAAGGCAGAGGCCAGAGCATGGTGTGTGCCCCCAGATGCTTCTCAAAGAGAGAGACCAAAAAGTCAGGCAAGATAACTTACAAAATCTTACCAAAAAGCGCGGGAATGGGAAGGCACAGAAACGTTTAAATACAGGTCACCCCATGAATTCTGCCTTTTAGATGAGACACAATGACAGCTGCTGAGACAGTGGATTTGAGAGGCAGAAAGGCCAGGTGGTCACCCAGGAGACAGATGGTGAGAGCCATGCCAGGGTGGGAGGGAACAGGGAGTGCTGACTAATGTGAATGCGAATGCTTAGTTCAAAGACTCGGCAGGGTTCAGTAAGCTGGGGGAGTCGAGGAATTGACCAGGTGACTCCTGGGACAGTGACGCCAACTCAGAACAATGGGAGAAGAGCCAGCTTAGAAGGGGAAGGAGAACCTGGGTTTTCACATGTATTGTTTGAGTCACTGGGAAACAGCCAGGTAGAAATATCTGGCTTTCAGTTAAAAGTACAGGTCAAAAGTTTAGAAGAGATTTGCACCAGAATTAGAGAAATGTAAAAGTCAGTTCCTTCCTGAGCATTACATTTTAAGACAATGGCCCCTAGGCCTGGTCATACATCAGATCACATAGGAAGCTTTTAAAATCCAAATTCCCTGACCCTGACCCAATTTAAAGAAGCCTGTCTTCAAGACGGGACACTTTTCTCCTACAAATAGTCCCCAAATTACAGAAAGGCTGAAGAGATTTTCAAACTAACAACCAAACCCCAAAGTCTGAGGGTCAGGCTGGATTCACATCCTAACCACAACCATTAGCTCTGTGACCTTGCGCGAGTATGTCCTCTCTATTAACTCCAGTCTCATCACCTGACAAGAACTCTAAGGCCAGTCTGTTTACACGTAGGGTCACCTGAGAATGACGGCACAGCTCCCCTCCCCCAGAACACAGGAACTGCTCCATAATTAGCAGCTGTAACTCTCTTCTAACAGGAAAGTCTCCTCACCCTTTGTTAACATTCTGAGTAGCACTAACCACCTTTGGGAGGGGCTTTTTAATGTAATTTGTCTTTATTCTCCCCCCCACACTAGACTTAGAAGATAACATTTCTGAGACACCCATCTGCCTGCTGTTCACTGCTCTAACCACAATGATCTACCAGGCACAGGTAAGTAGGTGCTCCCTAAAATCAGGAATAAGTGACTAAGATTATGGGGGGGTGCTTTTAAAAGAAAAACAATCCCTTTATGTTTCAAAATCTCTACCTGTTTTAGTTCTGTTCTAAAGACATTTTTTTCTTACCCTCAGGTTTCAATATCAAAACTGCTCCAGTCTAACACTTTCACTTTGTAGCAATTAAGTTTGAAATCATACAGTAAAATGGAGACTTGTTTATAACATGTTAAACATATTTTATATATGTATACATATATATACACATGCAGACATATATATAACCATAATTACGTTTATAATTTAAAAATACAAATGGAGAAAAAAGAATGGAAATATACCAAATGCTAATGGTGATGAATAATTACTTTTGTAATAAGAGTTACACCAGTTTAATAACAGAAACATTAATTTTCATGATTTTCCAAAAGCCATCAATACAGTTTATCTCTTATTTCAGAATTATCTAAATATCCACTAAGTGGCAGGTGCTGTTCTAGGCCAAGGACATACAGAGTGATATACAGTCCCATTCCTCAAGTCCTTCACTCTACTAGGAGAGACAGATGCTCAAAACAACTGCCTATGTGCAAGGAGATGAAAGAAGGCAGCAATGAATCCCTTGGGGTGGGCAGGAAAGGACTCCAAGTGGTGACAGTAGAGCTGGGGCCACGAAGAACACATCTCCCAATCACCAGAACATCTATCTCTACAGTGCTGCTGTTCTACCTGACGCACAGAACCGAGTCTCTTGTGGGAACAACTAACTACTCTTTGGCTCTGTGATACTATTTGAAATACTGTACCTGACATTCCCAACTCCACAGATACGAATTTATAGATCAGAAATATTCAGAACAGCAGTCAATATTCACAGAGCCTTTCCTTTATGCAATGAGCTAACAGACTTCTATGCATAATTTCACTGAATCTTCACACTTTAGTAAATGCTGTTATTATCCCCTTTTTAAGGAAGGGGAAATGATCTTTTGGAGGTTAAACAGCTTACCCACGATGACCCAGATAGTAAGATTGAAGAAATGTGAAAACCCAGTACAACTAAACCTATGCACTTAACCACATCAACATGCTTCACTACCAGCCTATAAAGTTTTGCATGAACTCTGCTTCTCAGGAAAAAAGAGAAAAATCCTCATTCCCCTTCTAATAACTCTTTTCATATCAGTAAGGAGGGAATCTGGTATAGATTTAAGCACCTTAACCTGAAAAATCTATATATATATGGATTATTCTCCTTGAAATCAAAGTCACTTCAAGGTCACATCATTGGCATCACAGGAGGAAAGGGGGCAAGGCGACCTGCCATGAAGTAGAAATTAACAGGATAACAGCGAGAGACAAGAAACTTGCATGTTGGTCTACAATTCATAAGCACAGGGGAAAGAAATTAAACCAGAAGAGGGACACCAACAATAGGTTTTGTGTCAGGAAAACAGCAAACACACTTCTCAATGAGTTCTGCCCACACTCACCCAGCAGGGCAGCCACGATGCTCACCAGCCCCGTGCCGGCACCCAGCTCCACGGCAGAGCAGCCCCTGAGCTCCACAGCGCCCATCTCCAGGTACGTGGACAGAACGACAGCCTGAGTCAAAACACGGTGTGATTAGGATGCTGGTCAGCAGCGCTCCGGGAGTACAGGATTCCAGGTTGGCTACACGCTGGCAGAAGAGACCACGCACACTTGTGCCCCACTCTGTGATGCCATTCCCAGTGTACTGACGTGCACAGGAACTCAGTACTGCAGCGGGGTAAGCTCCTAGGACAGGCAGACCTAGGACCCAAAGCCCCTCACAGCGGTGGCACGAGCAGGAGGCTGGTGAATCTGCAAAGCTTGACTTTTCACTGAGTCTCACGACACATTCACAGACGTTCGTCTACAAAACTATTCCAGAAGAACTGACATGAACAACCCCTGTGATTGTGTTTAAGCCAATGTCGGTTCCTAAACCAAGCTCTGGTCAACAAGGCCCCTGCAACTGGAGGGAAAAGCAGAGCAAGGCCTAGGGGTCTCCCTGAGCTGCATCTGACTCTCATCACCCTACATGGGGCCATGTCAGGAGCATCAGAAGGTGAGCTTGCCCAAAACTCGATGAGTTAGCATTTGCCTACAATCCTGTAACAAGAATTACGTAATGTTGACATCATTAATTATGTTGTTTTTCACACTATAACTGGCAGTTCCTCTACTTGGTGAGCATTTAGGAAGCAATTGCATTCCTCATTCTCATTTATTTTTATTACTCATGAGAACAGTTTCCATGTAGTTACTTTGGACTGGTTTCCTAGAACCAGTATTAATAGGTTCAATATGTTAGTATTTTAGGCTAGGCATGATGGCACGCGCCTGTAATGCCAGCATTCAGGAGGCTGAGGCAGAAGGATCACAGTGAGCTTGAGGCCAGCCTGGGCTACACAGTGAGTGCAAGGCCAGCCTGAACTACACAGTGGGACCCTGTCTCAAAAAAACAAAACAAGGGCTGGGGATTTAGCTCAGTGGTTCAGCCACCTTCCTCACAAGGGCAAGGTCAAGAGTTTGATCCCCAGTACCAAAAAAACAAAAACAAAGGATATATTAGTATTTTCATTCCTAAATGTTTTCTGACATCCCTAGTACAATGTTAAGACTGTGAAACTGTATTTATGCCAATCATTTATTTAACATGATGAGCCCTCCTCCCCCAGAGTCCTCAGTGTGTTGCTTGGGGCTGAGGACACAAGTCACCATCCTCAGACAGGCAGGTGGGCTAGAAGAGGGAGAAAAGCAATTATAATTTTGCAACCATTCTGCTACTATGGAAAACTTACAAAAACATGATGCTCATTTCTGGGCTTTGTCACTTATTTTCAAAAGCTTAACTTAATAAGTCCCCAAAGTGGTAAGAGCTCCTGCCTGCTTTCCTTTCAGTCTTCTCTTACCCACTGGATAATTACCGACAAAGTCACTCAACTTCCCTCAGCTTTCAGTCTCACCTTTCAAATGCAATGTATGTGAGGGAAGAAAAGGGGTGACTGGGAAGGGGAAGGGGGGAGGGGGTCTCAAAAAATGTTTTAAATTGAGGTGGTGATGGTCGCATTACTCTGAATATACTTTTTTCAAAACCCACCGACTTTGTGCATTTTAAGCAGATGAAGTGCATGGTATTTTAATTACATTTCAATAAATTTTTTTAAAGAAAGCCAGTCTTAATTGTAATTAATCGTGGTCGGTTTCAGAGGGCCCGTGGGGCTTACTTACCGCATCCCAAACAACTGCTGCGACTCCCAGTTGCCGCCAGTCCTGCCGCACCCGGATGGTGTGGTTTGCAAAAGAGAAGGTGGCAAAGGGCTTGTGGAATTTCTGGAGCCCCACTCCAGCGGCCTCTTCATAGGGCACGAGTGCCATTTCGCCCGAGGTGGCCCTCTGCTGAGACCTGTCCTGCACAAGTATCCCGGGGTGACACGCCGGCCAGAAACTGTGTTATCGCTTCAGTAACTCCAAACGATTAAGATTCGAAAGAAGAAAAGAAACAGGTTGAGGAAAATCGAATGCCTTCTGCAGGACTCTTCCTTCAACTGTGCCAACGGGTATCTTTGGCCAAACCACCCCGCCCCTTCCAACTCCCGCAGTGCACGCTCTGCCACGGTCACCGCGTGGCTTCGGGGCCGCGGGACGGCGCGAAGGCCGGGGACGCCCAGCGCTCCACACAGCCGCGGCAGCCCCGCCAAACCGCCACGTTCCACCGTGACAACGGAAGCGAGCCGCCCCTCGGACTGCGCGCGGACAGGTAGTCCTACTTGTGACCCCAGCCGGGCTCCACGCGGGACGTCGCACCGTGGCTGACGAGCAGGGCGCGGCTGTGAGGCCAGGTGGACTCCGGTGCGCGCTCCGAGGCCTCCCCGGGTCCCCAAATCTGCACCGCGCCCCCCAGCGGCGACAGGTGCGCCCTTCCCTCCCGCGAACCCCAGAGCTCCGCCAACCCGTCGAGGGTGGGAGTGGGAGACGCGGGGTGCTCCACAGGGCCCTTCGGGAACCCGGGCCGCACCCCGGAGCGCGGGAGGCCCGGCCACGAGGCGCCGCCACACAGGTACTCACGGCTCGGGCAGGCGCGCCGGCTCCCGGCGAGTGGCTGGGCAGGACCGGCCTCCGGGGCGGAGCGGGGCGGCCGCCGCGCGCTTCCGGTCTCCTCACCGCCCCCTTCCCGGGCGGAGCTGCGCCAGGGCGATCCAGAGACAGCGAGAGCGCAGCCGCCCGCCTGCACTGCCTCTGTTCTTGTGTTGCTGCGCCTGCCGCTCATGCGTTTTGCCTGTTTGGGGTTTGTTTTTTAGTTTTACAGGTGAAAGCAGAGGTTGGCTCCGAAGAATGCGTGGCCACCCGTTGGTCACTCGAGTGACCACGTGGCGTCCGTAGCTGCGTAGTGGCCCGCCTGGTGGCAAATGCGGTGGGAAACTGCCGAAGCGCTTCTTAACAGTGTGAACTGGGAGTGGTCTGGACTTGAAAATTGGGCCGGATGGGTGCGGCGGGGACAAGCCGGAGCAGACCGCGGCCCGGGCGGTGGCCGGGGACCCAGAAGCCCCGAGTCCCTCCTCGGGGCGCCCGTGCTGGACGGAGGGCACCCAGGGGGCATCTGGCACCTCCTCCGGGAGATTTCCCTTAATGTGCGCCCGCCAATCCCAGCGCCGCTAGTCCTGGCCGCCCGGCTCGCGGGCCTCGGCTCATCCGGCCGGCAGGGGGCGCGCCCGGCCTCCCCAGACCTCAATCCTCCAGCGGAAGGCTTGGGGGCCTTTCCCTTGTTTTTCTGTTTTGGTCTTCTTTTTTCTTTTAGTGCCGTCTTTATTATGGCTCTGTGCTGCCTGTGCCTGTCACCTTTCCTTTTTCTTATAATGGCTGGGGATTTAGCTCAGGCCTTCCGCCGCCTGCCTCGCTAGCAGAAGGTCCCGATTTCGATCCCCGGTACCTCCCTCCCCCCCCCCCAAAAAAAGGACTCAGTATATTTTTCCTATCCTTTGTAAAACCTGCCTTACGCAGGAGAGGGAAGTGTTCATTACGGTGATGTTATCAGTGCAAGCAGTGTGTTGAAATATCGCACTATTTCATTAATGTACCTAATAGTACTATTAATTTTTTTAATTATCCCTTTCTTCCCTTTACCTTCTCTTTGGGGAGCCAGCATTAGGCACAGGAAAAATGATGAGTTTTGGGACCAAAGAAACTTTCAAAATTTAAGTTCTACCTCTGACATGTTAGACTTCGAGTAACTGCTAAACTCCTTTGACCCAGCCCCTCACCTCTAAAGCCTGAAATAAGGAGTGTGCCTTATGTCCTCACCTTCCTTCCCCATTCTCCATCTTTTCAACTGAAATTTTATGTATATAAGACTTTAAAACACCTCCCCAGCCTCTAATATAGGGCATTTGCCTCATTACGTTTACTTACAATTGCCTAGAAAATTTTCATTTTTTCTCAGTAGTAATAGATGAGAAGTCATTTAGACTTCCCAGTGGAAAAATCCCACTGGCTCAGAGAGGAAAAAAAAAAAAAAACACAACAACTTGCACTGGATGTGGTGGTGCACACCTATAATCTCAGGAGACTGAGGCTGGAGGATTGCTGTGAGTTCGAGGCCAGCCTGGGCTACATGGTGAGTTCAAGGTCAGCCTGGGCTACACAGTGAGACCCTGTCTCCAAAAAAATATTGCAATTTGTATAGCAGCATAGACTGTTGTAAACAAAACAATAGTCCCATATGGGATATGGTAGATTAAATATTATTTAAAATAGTCATCTATGGATCTGTCTCTGCCCCCTTCCCTTCTGGAAGGAAGGATCTCAAGGCACCTGTTGACATCAACCTTGGTCGTGTGACAGCTTGGCTGTCAGAACACAGCAGAAGTGACATTTGCCTCTACCGAGCAACAGCATAAGTAGAACTATATGAAACATGAGTAAGAAAGAAACCTTCCTTATAACCACTGAGATTTGGGGATTTACAGCATTAGAAGCTGACAGAACACAAATGGGAACAAGCCATAAGATTTCAAAAGTGAAGTAGGATGTTTTAGTATAGATGTTTAGCTATCAGGGCCGATCAGTCCTGGGATCTGCCTAGAGAGGGGTGTGGTGAAGACTAAAGAAAAACACACACTTTCAAAGTACATGGAAGGATGGGAGGTCAATGCCAGAGTGGGCAAAGACAAAGACATTCAGAAGTAGCCACTATTTATTGGGTTATTGAATGAGGAGTGACTCCGAACAGCAATAATCCTATATTGATGAGGCTCTTAGGTAGGTTGATGAGGACAGTAAGATGGGCAAAGCATTCTTACAATAGTAGGTGGGATGAGATAGCAGGCTGATAAGGAATTTGTCCCCATCCCCCACCCCGTCCCCCGTCCTGTCCCCCCCCCCCCAAACATTTCTTTTTTTATCACTACTCAGCTCTCCAGGAACCAGGATGTCTTCTGATGTAATCTTGCCCTGGAGCATCACAGCATCACTGGAACATCGAGGCCTCAGCTGTGACTGGAGGCATACAGAATTATGTTTCCGCATGCCATAGCTGGCTTGCATGGCAAGGACACTAGGCCTCAGACAGCCCTAACCACAATTTAATTATGAAATTGTTTTCCAAAAAAAATTATACAGAATGGCTCTCAACATTTAGCCGTTCAGAAAAGTAGTTTCTTTGCTTTTTGGAGATCTCCCTGGCATGTTCCAACTTTCTTCATCTGTCTTCACCTGGGCTCCCAGTGTCCGCATCGATAGAAAATGACTCAACACCTTAATCAAATTGTGATTCTGAGAACTGAGACAATACTTCTACTAACTGTCTTGCTGGAGAGATGTAAGAAGTAGATTTACTCTTTACATGATCTGTGAGTGGTTCCAGACTTTAATCATATGTAGGAATTCATAAACTTGTGCTTTTTCCTTATAGGAAGGCAGACTGGGCTTATTTCTCCAGCCCTCTCCTGGGCCCTTCCAGCTAAAAAAGGAACATTCTTGGGCATCTCCTCCAGCTTGGGACTCCCGGTGTACTTCACAGTGCTGGACTCTTTCATACCCACACTCTGGGTAGCAGAACTGAACAGAGGTTAGACTACAAGGAAGTAGCTCTGGAGGCCTTTGGTTGACAGGAGTTCAGGGAATGTCACTCAAAGCCTGATGGTTTAGGATGCTGGTTACTTTCTACTGAAAGTACCTGGAGTCCAGTAGATGCTGATCAAGGCTTTCCTCTGAGCTACTCACATCTTTGGACAGAACAATTGTCATGGATTCGCTTCCCTGGGAAGCTCATGGACCAGGCAAGATCATATACCAAGAGATAAGGCTGGAGGTCATTACCTCGTCCACATGGCTCCATCACAGGTGAGCACCTGTTCTAGCAGGTCCTCCTTGGGTTATATTTCATTTTTTAATTTTATGTGAAAACAAAATGTCATCACAAAATAATAAGAATAAGAAGAATTCAGTGTGTATCATTATCTTCAAAGTAGTTACTCGGAGTACAAGATTCTTACAAAATAGAAACAAACATAAAACTTGGCATTCATGAACTAAGAAGAAATAGTATAAATGAAACAAATTAGCATACATATTAAAATACCTTTGAAACAGTGGACTGAGTAATTTAGGAAATACTTGAACTCTCTACTTCCTATTTTCTCTCTCTCTCTGTCTCTCTCTCTGCTTCTGTCTCTTTCTCCTCTCTTATTCCCTCCCTCCCTCTGATAGTTAAGCTTATGTGTCTGACTTATTTCACTTAACATTGTGTTCTCCAGTTGCATCTATTTACCTACAAATGCCTCAAGTTTATCCTTCTTGGATCCAGATTCTGGGTCAACTCCCAATTCTACAATCTACAAATGCTTTTCAATTTACAAAGTGTTTATATCTCAATAGACCCATCCCATCAGAAGTTGAAAGTATAAGTTGAAAATACATCAGATAAACTTGACCTAATGAACAGCGTTGCTTAGTGCAACAGAGCAGGATAGTATCCTTTGTTTCTCCTTAAGATTTCGGGGCCACCTGGAAGTGTGGCTCACACCCTGCCCAGCCTGTCAAAGGAGGACCAGGCCACATATATCACTAGCCTGAGAAAAGATCCAAATTCAAGATTCAAAGTACAGTTTCCATTGGATGCATATCATTTTTGAACCATTGTAAATTGGAGACTGTACTAGCTGTGAGGGTTGGTCTCTCAGCTTCTCTATCTATAAAATAAGGATAATAGATGATTAAATCAATAAACAACGTAATAGCCTGAGGTTAAAATGAGTTATCTACGTAGAACCATTTCAGACAAACAGTAATCTTAACATAATGCTTGTGGTTACTGCTATGTATTTTGAGTTGGGCTAAATTCAGCCCCAGCTCCATGACTAGGTCCAGGGGTGACCAAAAGCACATTTCTCCTACAGGTGGTTTAGAAGTGAACATGGGAACCGAACATGGTGACATATGCCTGTAATCTCAGCACTTGAGAGGCTAAGACAGGAGGATCACCGTGAGTTCAAGGCCAGCCTGCCCTACAAAGTGAGGCCCTGTCAAAAAAAAAAAAGTGAATATGTGACCAAAGGTAGACTTTACTGGAGCCTATCCTGAGTCTTGTTAGGCTCCTGCCCAACGAGCCTGTTGGGGAAGGAGAGGGGGCTGGAGGTTCTCTTGGTCATCTGGTCCCAAGAAGACAGGCCCAACAAAGAAATATAGCGGGCAAGGCACTGGTAGAAGGAGAGGCTGCCTCTGATGTTGCCCTTTGACAGTCTAGACCCAGTTGGCCTAGAATTTTTCATTGTGTGAGCAAGTTGCCTAATTAGCTTAAGCTCTTTGAGCTGCTTTTTGTTGTTATTATTTCTTCCCTGCAGAAGAAAAAACAATCCAAAAACCTGCCACCTTGCCTGGCCCCTTGAACACAGATACAAGTCACGTCTGGGCAGGACTGTCCTCAGGATGCGCTGCAAGCGGAGAAGCCATTCTGCAAAAGGCAGATCCTAGCTTGGGGCAGAGCTGCCTGGTTTCCCAGTGATCATGTCCTAAGCCTTTTCCAGGTGCACCTGGACTCTAGGGTCCCATGGGACACTGGGCTAAGCTGATAAATTTCTCTTTCTTGCTTCAGCTGGCATCCGTGCCTGTCACGTGTCACTATAGCCCTAACGAACATTATGTTGTTTATTTTTAGGAAGTAATGCAGATAGAATATAAACATTCTACAGGTTCCTGGTACATGACCTGGTGATGGTTAACTGGCAATCCTATCTTCTCCAAAACCTAATCTAACGGATGGATGTTGATACGACATCAGGCTCCTCAACACACTCATTGTCAGCAAATGACCGGAGTCTGCACAGACCTCCATAAATATTTATGAAACGGAAGCATAATCCAATGGCTACATCTTCCTGTCCATTCTGGGGTGGAGGAGTGGACCTTCCTTCACCCCTGCTGTAGTACAAATGCCCCTGCATGTTCCGTCTCCTCCGCAGCCTGAGGAGGCCCGTGCTCAGACTTGTTTCTTGTTACTTAGGACTCTTGAGCCACTTGTCACTGTTCTCTTGCCATCCTGTCTTTCTCCTTCTCAACACTGTCAGGACTTAGGAGTGACCCAGTCCTGCACTGCTCAGCACCCTGCCTTCAGTCTGTCTTCTGCTGTCTGCGTCCTGCTGAGATAATTCCGTTTGCGCTGTCCCTGGTCAACATGAGGGCTGGCTCCAGTGCTGGACACCCAGACTTCTGTAGAGCACTGGATTTAAAGTCGTCTCTCTGGCTGCTGAGCTGTCTTCCCATGACCTGGAGGGTGCACTGGTCTCTGATTTCATCCTCCTGCCTCTTCCCTTCGGCCTCTAGGTTCCCCCCAGGGTGGTGCTGCTTCTTAAAAGCTTCCTTTTCTTTCTTTCTTATACAGTACTCTTTTTGTTCTTAGCCATTTTCCTGTGATTTCAGTTGCAACCTGTTCAAACGTGCCACTTAGAACAACCCAAGTTCTCTGTGCAGCAGTCACAGCAATGCAGTGGAAAGGAGGGAACCTGAGATTGCTGGACTTGAACTCAAGCCTGGCTTCTGCTATTCTCTAACCTTGGGCAAGTCACTGAAACTCCTTGAGCTTTGGTTTCCTCATCTGTAAAGTGAGGTTGAATGTAACACTCACCTCTTGATGTATGTAAAAGCTTGTTGAACACCGCAGCATATACTGTTAAGTGACAATCCAACACACAAATTAACAAGCTTGGAGTCAAAAGAAAAAAAAAAAAAGAAACCTGGATTTAACTACTGGCTGTCTTTTCCTAGTTGTGTAACTTTGACCACTGAGTTAGCATCTCTGTGCTCAGTGTCCTCATCTGTGGAATGGGAATATTACCAGCCCCCACTGTCTTTTTGTGAGGAGGAAGGTAGTTAACGCACACTCAGAGCTTAGAATAGTGTCTAGCAGACCATAAGCATTTACTAAATATGAGCTGTTACCGTTTTCTTCACACCTGTCTGCTGCACCAGCTTTGGCCCGGTAAACAGGATTTGTAACTGGGAGCACACTTACCCCTTTCCTCCTCTTCACTGCCGTATTTCTCATCTGTTTAGTTACTGTCCCTGTGATCCCAGGTGGCTGTGCTGACCAAGGTGCCTCTGCCCTCACTGTGAGTCTTCAAAGGACGGGAGGTGCTCCAGGGAAGAGGCCTATGGCTTCCCCTCTTTTCTACCTTCACGTTTGACATCCTAGCCAGGCCAGGGACTGTGGGAGGCGGCCTCAGATTTCATGACTTACAGTATGTGCCTTTGGCTTATTTGTCTGAACTTGAAGGTAGTTAATATATTGCAGGGCCTTCTTCCTTCCTCCCGGAACTCTCCCATTCTCCTCCGAGGTAAAGCCCAGCGTCTCTAGCCTGGCCACCTCCTTCATGTCTGTGCACCAACATCAGCCCATAGAGCTGTGTCCTGGAGGTTAAGTCACTGACTCTGCTCTTGACAGCTGGGTGGGTGTCTCTGGGCTCCTGCTGCTAGCCACAGGTCAGTGTTTTCCTCTGCGGATGACTGCCGCCCTCCTAAAACTCCCCTTGCCATCGCCTGGCCTCGGTACTGACCTCAGAGCTATGTCTTTGGTGGTGGTGGAGGGAAGTTTATTACATCGAAGTTTATTGCATCGAATTCAATGACCTGCTATAGTTTTTATGTCATACCTTGTTCCAGAAAGTGTTTAAAGACAAAGTGTCATTATTATGTTTCTGAGATTCTCAATAATACTCTTGCTGAAATTGGTCCATCAAAGTAGGCTCAGAACCCAGACCAAATTATGAGGTCAGTTTGTTTGGGTTATTCAGTCATTTGATGGTGACCTCTCTAAGAGTATCTGCTCTTGGCTGCCACAATAGTGCAGCAATAGTCAGGACCCTCCCTCCAACTTTGGCACAGCTAGGGCTCCAGCCCAGGAAATCTTTGTATTCCCAGATGCCATACACAGGCCTACAAGCTGGATGGGTTAAAATCTTCTTGCTTAGCTCCAGAAGTCTGAAATCAAGGGATCAGCAGGCCACACTGGCTCCAAAGATTCTAGGAAAGAATCCTTCCTTCCCTCTTGCAGCTTTTGGTGCCCCTAGGTGTTCTTTGGCTGTGGCAGTGTAGCCCCAGCCTCTGCCCCTGTCATCATTCAGCAGTCTTCTCCCTGTGTGTTTCTCTCTCCAAGTCTCCCTCTCTCTATAGGACACCAGCCTCTGGGTTTAGGACCCACCCTAATCCAGTAGAATTTCATCTTTCCTTGATTATGTCTGCAAATATGTAAAGATGCTCCCCAAGGTTCAATTCACAGTTTTTCAGCTTTACAATGGTACAAAAGCAATGTTCATTCAGTAGAAACCATGCTGTTTGTTTAAACTACATGCAGTTAAAATGAGCTTGTTACCAGACAATTTCACCCCAAGAGAATTTTCATTAACCAAAGTGACCAAAGTAAATTAACTAGACTGTTAATCTCCAATAAACAGAAAACTTCATTGATTGAACATTGTCATCATAGCATACAGGATTCATGTTCCCACTATTCTTGCCAAAAAAAAAAAAAAAAAGAGTTGGAGAAGAAAAGAACAGAAAATTGAGGAAATCTCTTGATTTTATTGTTATTATTCCTCTCTGTCTTGGCTTTTTAGAATTTTAATCCAGGTTACTGTGACTGGTATTTTAAATGAATCTTTTGTTTGATGTTTTATAGTGGTACTTTGGTTTGTGAACTTCATTTGTTTTATGATTTTGAAGAAGACGGCTGTGTTTGTGTTTATGTGGGGAAGATGGCCCTGGTTGTGTTTGTCAACCAACGCGGAGTTTTTGAACGGAAGCAAAATTTTGCCGAATGCTTTTGTTTGCGAACGAAATTGCTTGCAGACAGAAGTGTTGTGAACCACCAAATTATTACTGTAATATACTATATGTAGTGCAATATGCTATAATCTCATTTTTAAAATAGTATTTTGAAACACAGTCACCTTAAAAGATTTTTAACTGAAATCTTAATTATGTACTACAGGCTAAACTCTCAGAAAATGCATTGCCTGGAACTATCTAAACCCAAAACTTCTCATTCTTTTTGGTCTAGGGATCCATTACAGTCTTTGAAATTACTGAGAACCCAAAAGAACTTTGTGTAGGATAGACCTATTGAAATTCATTGTGTTAGAGGTGTTAATTTGTAAGAAATTATAAATCAATAAACTGCTTTTAAGCTCATTTAAAAATATTGAGCATACCTTCATTATGTTTTTGGGGGGGTTTTTTGGTACTGGAGGTCAAACTCGGGACCTTGTGCTTTCAAGGCAGGCAGCAGAACCACTGAGTTAAATGCTGGGCCCATCCATTATGTATTAATATCAGGGCAATGACATCATTGCATGTCAGGGATCCTTAGAGAAAGTCCACAGAAGAGTGAAGAGGGAAAGCAACACCTTAGTATTATTATAAAAATAAGTCAGGTGCAGTGGCATGCACCTGTATTCCCAGCTACTTGCATGGCTGAGGCTGGAGGATCACTTGAGCCCAGGAATTCAGAGCCAGCCTAGGTGACATAGTGAAACTCTGTCTCTTAAAAAGGTATCAGGGTTTCCCAGAAACTGCTGCAGACTGTATTTGAGAACCACCAGTCTAAACTGTTCCTTGGTCCCCACAATGAATATTTGTACTGCAAACATGTTCTAATAGAAATTTTTAAGTAAATTTTTAAAAACAAGATACAGAAAAAAATTGTTCCTTGACATTCTTAGTGAAGCTGTCTTCTCCATCTAAACTACTGTTGTTCAGAAAATAAATTGTAAGACTCCTTCTAAAACTCTGAGTATTTAACACTGAATATAAGCATTTACTTAATATGTTATCAATTTTCTTGTCACCTTTAACATAAAAGTAATACAATAAGCAATACACAGGGTGTGTTCAGAGGGGCCTGGAGCCCTGTGTTCTAATCTTGGCTCTTAGATTTTGACTTTGGGTGAGTTACTTTGGGTGTGACTTTGGGTGACTTTGGGTGACTTTGGGTGAGTTACTTAGCCTCTCCAAACTTCACTGTCCTATCTGTAAGATGAGCATAACATTACTGTTTTCCTCACAGGCTTGAGTGAGGATTAAATAAAGTAATCTATGTAATGGAAGACGAATTTCCCATCTCCCCCTTCCAAATAACTTTTGACCCTATGCCTGGGTTCTGGACAATGGAATGTAGGCCAAAGAGCCCCTGGCTATAACCCCTTTCTCCCCCTCTGCACACCCCCAGAGGTAGTCAAGGTCAGGGAACCAGATCCCTAAGTCACTACTTGGAGGAACTGCTCAACTCACACCAGGTTATGACTTGAGCAAGGGATAAACTTATGTTGTGTTAAGTCATTGAGATTTGGGGTTCATTCATAATTGCAGTGCAGCCTTTACTAATACATAAGGGCAGGCCATTTGAGTGAGTGGGAAGAAGTCTCTAAAGAGGTGATATTTAAATAGAAATTGAAAAGATTAGAAGGTGTTATGGTTCTTCTCTAGATGTCTCCCCCAAACTTCATGCATTCATAGGTAGAGCCTTGAAAGGTAATTGGATTGTGGGGGTGAAATACTCGCCAGTGGATTAGTCCACTGATAAGTTTATAACTAAATGTGATGTTGGGACGTGAAGCCTAGTGGAAGGAGGTGGGTCAGTGGGGCATGACCTGGAAGAATATCTCTCCCTCTTCCTCCCTTGATCTCTCTCTGCTTCCTGTCCCCATGCCAGGAGCTCTTCCTCCTATGCCAGGCCCCTCTGCCATGCCACCCATCCTTAAAGCCAGCCAACTATGGACTGAAACCTCTACAGATTGTGAGCCAAAATAAACCTCTCCTCCTTCGAGTTGTGGGTGTTGGATATTGGGTCTCCTTAATGAGAAAGTAAGACAGAAGGAAACACCTACCTCAAGTGCTAGGGGAAAGGAATTGCACACAAGGGAACAAAATACACAAAACTCCCCAGATGAAAAAGAAACTGTCAACTGACCTGTGGCCAACAAGGAGGAACTGACACAGGATAACCCTAGAGTGTAAGGGCACATGGGACTGAACCCTCCGAAGTACCAAATCCCCAGTGGGTTACCCCTGTGGGAGAGGCATCCCATCATCATCACTATTCTGCTCCTCTGTGGCCCTGAGTGAGGCTGGCTACCCTGGATGGTGCTAATATGTACCCAGAGTAGTCCTGACCGAGGGAAATTCAAAAAGCCTTGTGGAATTAAGCTCTGGCTGCTATAGAAAGATAACCCTGGGACCTTGCAGCAACGTGCCCCAATGCCCGCCCAATGTGCACTCCCGATTCCTTTTGGTTCGAAGTCCAAGATGGCCAGCCTAAAGGGTCAGCTGATCCTGAATCTCCTTAAGGAACAGCAGGTCCCCCAGAATAAGATTACAGTTGTCGGGGTTGGTGCTGTGGGCACGGCCTGCACCATCAGTATCTTAATGAAGGACTTTGCAGATGAACTTGCTCTTGTTGATGTCATAGAAGACAAATTGAAGGGAGAGATGATGGATCTCCAACACGGCAGCCTTTTCCTTAGAACACCAAAGATTGTCTCTAGCAAAGACTATAATGTAACTGCAAACTCCAAGCTGGTTATTATCACAGGTGGGGCACATCAGCAAGAGGGAGAAAGCCGTCTTAATTTGGTCCAGCGTAATGTGAACATCTTTAAGTTCATCATTCCTAATGTTGTAAAGTACAGCCCAAACTGCAAGTTGCTTGTTGTTTCCAATCCAGTGGATATCTTGACCTATGTGGCTTGGAAGATAAGTGGCTTTCCCAAAAACCGTGTGATTGGCAGTGGCTGCAATCTGGATTCAGCCCAGTTCCGGTACGTGATGGGAGACAGGCTGGGGGTTCACCCCCCTGAGCTGCCATGGATGGGTCCTTGGGGAGCATGGAGACTCCAGTGTGCCTGTGTGGAGTGGAGTGAATGTTGTTGGCGTCTCTCTGAAGAATCTGCACCCCGAGTTAGGAACTGATGGGGATAAGGAGCATTGGAAAGAGGTTCACAAACAGGTGGCTGACAGTGCTTATGAAGTGATCAAACTCAAAGGCTACACGTCCTGGGCCATCAGACTGTCTGTGGCAGATTTGGCAGGAAGTATAATGAAGAATCTCAGGAGAGTGCATCCAATTTCTACCATGATTAAGGGTCTCTATGGAATAAAGGATGACGTCTTCCTTAGTGTTCCTTGTGTCTTGGGACAAAATGGGATCTCAGATGTTGTGAAGGTGACCCTGACTCCTGAGGAAGAGGCCCGTCTGAAGAAGAGTGCAGATACCCTGTGGGCAATCCAGAAAGAGCTGCAGTTTTAAAGTCTTCCAGTGTCAGTCGCACCACTTCGATGTCTGGGCTGCAAGAGGATTTAGTTGGAGGTTGTACATGTTGTCCTTTTTATCTGCTCTGTGGTTGAAGCAGTAGTATTAAGATAGCCTGGGAAAACATCAGTTTCCCAAGTTAGAAATCGAAATGGTTCACAGTGGTCCACAGTTCTATCCTGATGACGGATGGCACTTGTGTAGTCTTAACCTGGTTACTATAAAGCAGCCCCACAGTCTCAGACACCACGGCCAACATGGCACAGGCTCCAGCTGCCCTTCGAGCCAGATGTATGTTGCTCTGTTATGTAACTTCACCGACCAGCCTAGTCTTTTCCCCAGTTGATCACAGCCTGGGATGCAGTGTATAAATCTAATACTGCATGTCTTACGCATACCTGTTTTAAAGGGTTTTATTTTGTGTATTATATATATATCAGTAGTGTACAATGCCATATAATGTAAAGAGGGATCTACCTGTGAACAATGTGACCAAGGGTCAGACCAACTACAGCACCAAATAAACCTTGAACAGTGAAAAAAACAAAGAAAGATAGCCCTATGTGGAGTCCTGCTATAACCAAGCTGGCCACCGTCTTTCTTCCCTCCCCTCTCAGTGCCTCCGCAGGACCTCACCACATAGGGCACAGAATGAGACAACTGCCTGGCCCTACACGGAAGGAATGGGAGGCCTAAACAGAGCCCTTTGGGCTTTTCATTTTGCTGATGAAATCACATTTGTTCACAGCTGCCTGACAACTGCTGCTGTTCAGCAACACAATAGAATCAGCAGCCTGGGAAGAAGTTTCCAGTTTTATGTACTGGTAGGATCTGTCATCACTTCTGTGGCTTTTAGGTGAAAAATGCTGAATAAATATTTGTTGAGTGAGTGAATGTTACCAGAGGAATGTTACCATACACACCCGTTACATCAAATTATTGCCCACCACACTACAGGAGTTTTTAAATTCAAATACTACTTAGTAGGCAGCCTGAGTCAATGGTGCTGTGTGGTTAGCAGTTGCGTTCATTGTTTGCATATGTCTCATTAACCTGAGGTTCAACAGTATCCACAGGTGTGGTGCATCAGGGCCAGAAACTATAGGCCCTCTCATCATGATTCCAAGGAGCCATTTGCCTTTTCGTACTCTGCATGTTAATACATAAAATGTGGGTCCATTTTAAGTAAATCAGACGAAAAGATATCCTCAAAAGGAGAATAATAAGTTGCCAAATGA